CCGTTTCCTCGCTCGCCAGCGAGCCTGCCCGCCTGCCTGCCAGACACCCATCCATCCATAGACATTAACGAAGAAGACCGAGTTCATTAAACTAATGAAGTGACTAGTGATCCCCTCGCACCCGTCATCATCAACGAGAACGGTAGGGCAACGACGTCGTCGCTGAAGGGAGCCGAGAAACGGGCAACTCTTGCTTACCTAATCACTCCTTCGAGGAGAATTTTCCCTTCCGAAGATTTCTAATTGCAAACCCCTCCCGAGCACCTCCTCCAATGGATGACCGGGTTGGTCACGCGTCATAAACGCATTTCCGTATTACCGCAAGGAAAGCAGCACCAGCAGCAGCGGTAACACCGTCGGCGTCGTCGGAGGCGGCGCGGCGGCTCGCCATGGATCTCGGCACAGAGTTGTCGAGTGGTTGGGGGCTGCCGCTACTGCCGCGACGTAAACACCGTACTAAGCCACACTTTTATAAGAGGCCCAGCGGTCATAAATTTTATGGAAACTCTTCCTCTCCCGTACTCATTCAGTCGGACACCGCTCCAGTCACTAGAACGATTTATGAGGTCCTGCATACGGGAAAAAACGTCCGGCCGACTGCAACTCGCGAAGTATAGCCAAGCTCTTGGACTTGGGAAACTGTCCATATTCACACGGATGGCCAGCCGAAAGGAGAGCATCTTGCTTCGGGTATCTTCCAGGACATTAAACTCTGCAGTATCTAGATGCGACACATCGGGTTGATGTTTTTCTGCAGATTCCTCGGTCGTTTTGTTTTTTTCTCGCTCTGTTGTCCCTCACTGTCGCTCCGCCGCTTCGTCATCTGTTCCCACCCGCCGTCATCTCAGGACGAATTTGGTCCGGGCGCTCCACGACGCACGAACATGAGGAGAGTAAACATCACGGTCTATTATTCGCGACATAGAGCTCGGGAACTCATTCCTGATTTCGCGTCCACTCCCGCGAGCTTTCGGTCTAATGGATGGAGCTACGGAACAATTCTCCGGGGCTGCGTCTAGTGGAACGTCGCAGCATTTGATAGAATGAGATGGAGCAGCTCCTGGATCTCTTAGACAGACTACCATTTGATGCGATTCTTTGGGAGATGGAACAGACACCACAACCGGGTTCATTTGCAGGACACATTCGGAGAGCTTCTTGCAAAAACCCCGGTGTGGGTGAACTTTTGATGAACCTCATTGTCCGGCGTTCTTGAACCCACACCGACAGACGTACTAAGCTCGCTGGATCCTTGCCGTAACTTTATCACGGAAATTAATTTAATCGAGAGATGGCGAAAACTCAGTGATCGGTTCCAGGAATTCCACTATGCATGACCTGCCGGTGATATTCGTTCCCAAATCGCTCGGAAGCGTCTCGGTCTCTGAATAGCAAGCCCCCTATATTTTGCTGATACCTTTGCCTTAACAGCACCGGGATGTTCGGCTTTGTGTGAGGGTTGATACTCGGGTTGACCGAACTCGCGTATTTTCCCGAAATCGAACTCAGGTCTTCGGGAAACATCATGAGAAATTGTGCAGAGCCTCATTCCGCATCTCAACGACGGCCCATGTTTCTTGCTTTCAAAGACTCCGAGGAGCCTCTGGAATTCCTGAGTCTTCGAGACACCTAGTGACGCCACACCGGTCTTCAAGTCCTCCCGGAACGCACGTGGGAATCCAACTTCAAGATCTCCGGGAGAGGTTCTGTGGGCTGACACAAAGCTGCACCAAGTGAAATCAACAAATAATGCTTTTTTTATAATTCGATTCGCTCGGAAAGTACTAACTCCCGTATTGGACGGACATCTTCTTCCACTCCTCCCCTCGGCGTTGCCTCAGCATGAAGCCAGTCTCGATGTAGCGGCTCCGAGGCACGCTCAATATTAACGCGCCACCTCGTGTCTCGTTATAATATGGTGCGAAAACTGCGCTGATGCGAACACTCGGACTACAGTCGTGGAGCCAGGTGCTGGGAGTGCCGTGCGCGGCTCTATCGACGTCCAACGAGGCATCCGAGCAGAGCTTGCGGATGCTGTCGTGGGCACTCTCTCAAAATATTCACGCGAGACTCTCTATCCCAAGATGCACCAGCGGTGGATCGTGTCATCCTTTCAGCCACCACCTGCCAGAACCAGTCAAGCTGTTTAATAAACTAATATCAGAGAGCGCTTCTGCTGCCTTTTATGATGTCTACTCCCGGCAGGGTTCGGTGGGGTTATCGGAACGTTCGCAGCTACAACGGCCGGGAATATTCCATAGTCCTTTGACATCGACCGAGCCGAAACGCTCATATCGTGAGTGATTGCCACGACGATCGCAAATCGCTCCGAAAAGCCCTATACAAGACGAGGAACGAGTCACTGATGTCAGAGGTCGAGGCAGCCATCGGAAGCACTTCACGCGGCCTTTGTACACCTACGCAGTTCGCCTTATTTAGGATGTTTCGGTGCTGTGACGACGCGATATCACCCCTAACGACGGCCGGCGGCGCGCTATACGTCGGAAATCAAACCCTCTCCGCCAAGGGAAGAAATCACCCATCAGCATCTCTCCGCCTCAAGAGGATCACTGATGGGCAGCCGTCAATGCACACAGAGAACCTTTAATCTCCCTCCCATCATCAGCAGCAGAATAGAAACCCTTCCATAGCTTGCTTCCCCTAGGATGCCAATGAACGCCACAACAGTTAGTACTACACAGGTGCTCGCATCGTTCGATCCACTTCGCCGCGACGATCCTGAAAGTCGCCGCGCGAAAGTCAACGCAGGCGGCTTTCGCGTACGTGCAAGGTGCGTGACTTCTGCTGGCCATGATTCTCTCCCGATATTTTCACTTGATTCGGTGGACGAATTCGACTGTGAGCGTGGGGGGGAACCCGGGGGGGGGGGGTGGGGGGGGGAACCTGTCAAATCTCCACAATCTGCAGCGAATTCGGAGGCGAGAACGAAGGTGCTCGGTCGTTGATAAATTGGAAAAAAACACGCCAGGAGTGGTGGGGTATTCGAGGTTTCTTCAGAGCGGACGATCGCGTGCTGTTCTCTCCATCGCAGCGTTGCACGATTCTTTCCTACACGCGCTTCTTGTGGAAATTGATACAGACATTCATTCATTCGGCAATTCCTTGCTCTCGTTGAGCTCCCGAAGGATCTTAGTGAATATTTGGAAGTGTTTTCCAATCCTGAGGGTGATACGAGCCGTCGAGCCCGAAATCGGGCAAAATCAATGAAGTTCAGCGACCGAATCATAGTGAACACTCCCTCGAAGCCCATCAGCTCCGATCCGTTCCGATTCCGCAGTCGCACGGGCATCTTGAGCGCACGTTCGCTGCAATGGTCAAACTCTCATCTGCTGTGCAGGACGAGGACAAAATGAACCAGCGCCTGAGCTGGCGATGCAGCAAATCTGCCAGAAGGCTCGGCATGTGACGCGCGTTGCGGTTCCCACCGGAGTTTCCGCCTTGGAAAACGTTTGTCGCTCTATTTCTCCACCTTTCGCTGGAAGCGATCGAAACGATCCCAGACCTGGAAGATTGCTCGCGCAGGGGACGAGGAACGGCTGACCGACCTCTAACACCTAAACGCGGCCTATGAGACCAATGCTCATGAGGCTTTTTCCAAAGCGGCCAAGAGAGGCAAGAAAAAGATGTCTACCCATGGCGTCTGGCCTCGTGGTCAAGAATGGACTTTTTCCCTAGGCAGGTTCGATTGAGCGGATCGAAACAGAAATATTGATCAATCGTTAAGGCTGTATCGAGGTGATCGGAGGGGGTCGATCAAGCAAATGATAGGTTTTGTCGCTCGATAGATATGCGGACAGTGAGGAAATGTCTTTCAGTCGGGTTCGAATGCCTTGTAGTGGATTGCTGGGCTATTGCGACTTTATTGCTCGATGACCGCCCGTAAAGGCAATGGGAAGACGTCGTTTCAGGGAGATAGGATGGGCGAGACTGAAGGAGATGAATCATCCAGTCATCCTCTAGGACTCTAAGCGATGCTGTATCAGGTTGATATTTTTCGGGCTTCGTGGCTGGCATTGAAGACCGATCACCCCGGAGGAGGCGAGGAATGTTTGTGTACCACCCGCCTGCTTCTGACAGTTGACACAATGCCTTAACACGTTCAGGCGCGATGGACTCTTCAAAAGTTACCGGAACTCGTGCCCCATTGAAGTTTCGCGATAACATCCAGCAAGGAATCAGAGATCAGGTTTCTTCTACGTGTTCTTCGAATATTCCGGATATTTTCCGCATAGGCGCATCGAGGCAGAAGTTCAAGGCAATGAATAGGTGGATTCCGCCTTATGGTTTTTCTGTGTACGTTATGAACGCCCGAACGAACAGCTTCGTGGCGGAAAACAAACTGATTGAAATGCATATTGAAATGTCGGCGCCACTTCGAAATTCACCATTCCCTCGGCTCCGACGTTGAGTTGCATCTCGACGAACTAGATGGACGGGTTTCCGAGCGGAAAACATCAAGCCATGGATTTTCGTCCCGGAGGAATTATTCGAATCTGTATACCGAGCATCCAGGTTCGGAGCTCCCGCGGCTTCTGAGCTCGAACGCTCCGCTCCAGCGTGATCGACGCGATAGTGACACGGTTTCCTTGTGAGAGGGTGTTCTACCCCCGACGAGATAGGTCTCTCTGTGAATCTGACCGTACTGGGGGAACGGTCACTGTCATTCTGCATGACCCCCTCGTTTCCATGATACAGTTCGACCCTCTGCGGATTGGGACATCATTCTCCGAAACTCAGCGAGGTTCTCGATCCTCGCGTACCACCTGCTGAGTTCCCCCGCGAAAGGATTCTCGCTAAGGAACTTCCAGTGCAGGAATTCGCTGTCGCTTTAACGAATTCCCCGCGCCTAATCCATATCATACCTCCTGTTGCCGCGGGAGCTTTTCGACGAAGCCCCACGCCCATAGTAGGTTGTATAAGAAAGCGTGATTGCATGCTGCGATCGACTGCAATATTCATTATTCAGCCACAACGAAGTGATGGCGACAGCGGCTCCCGATTTACCGAAAGCAACTACCGTGGCCTTGGATGCCGAGTTGCACGATTTGTTGCAGCTCCACAGGAAACATGAAGTTGTGTTCGGGGCGTCTCATCACACGTTCAGGTTGTCCGACTACTCGGAATGCAGCACATCGTGCGAGGTGAGCCCTGGAATTAGGAATCACTTATTGAGCAAAAGCTCTCCCGCAAATGAAACAGGGACGTGTTTCTCGCTGCTTCCAATCAACTCGTCTCCTTGTCTGAGAATCGTTGACCGTTTTCCGGCCCGCTGGGAACAATCGAGTTAGCAGGCTACCAACTAACTGACTAACTCGGGAGGTTTTCCGCGGCTTCACAGATCCACATTTCCAACATTCCGTCGGGCGCTTCGCTGGTTCAGCTCGTTCGACTATTCGAGCCCCAGGGAAAATTATTGAGATTGACGCTGTTCGTTGACGACGATGGAGTTTCCGTGGGGAAGGCCACCGCAGTTTACGAGAACGAAGAGGACGCCATGACTGTAGAGGAAGGGTTGAACGGGGTCGTGTTGTCGGAACGAGGGCCGTACAAGGTTGTTTCGGCGCGATGGGGGAGCGCTCTGGGCAAGAGCGAAGCACTGCGGAAGAGCACCGAAGGTCTCATCGTCAGGACTGAAATGGGCCGTCGACTCTACGTCGCCAACATTCCCAAGGTCAAAACTAAGGAAGATATCTTCAATCACTTCAATCGGTTCCTCGGAGGTCAGTCTAAGGAGCCAGTCCCAATCCGAGCCGCGATTCTAGGCTTTTTCTCATGATTTTTAGTATGATTTCTCTCGAGCTCCGTACGGAAAATACTCAGCGCGGCTCTCGACGCGCAGCGCTTCGTCGAGATTTTCCCTGCGCTCAGAATTATCTTGGATCTCGCTCCAAGTTGATTAAATCGTGGAGGATCTGATTCTTATGCCGATCCTTCCGTTCCCGACTCGCGGCAGGATTGGTCGACGTCATGGTGTACACCTACCCTGGTTCGACCCAGAACCGCGGCTTCTGCTTCATCGAGTTCAATTCGTCGAAAAACGCTATGTTCGCGAAAGAAACGATCGTCGCGTCCAGGCCTTGGGGCTGCGAGGTCGTCGTCGATTGGGCCGACCCCGAGCAGGAGCCCGACGAGGAAATCATGAAATCAGTGAAAGTACTGTACATCAAAAATCTTTCTCCCAGAGTCACAGACGCCGACCTGAGGAGAGCATTCGCGGTGAGTTCCTTTCTGTTCAGCTATCGCCTCGGATTTTCCTCGCACATGCGGTAAAGCGTTCATCGCGGATAAGTTTTTCGCCTTGGAAATTCTACGTCGAGACCCTGTGGCAGCTCTCGCGTCTTCGCGAGAATCGGTGATTAACCTTGATCAATTTTATTGCTCAGGAACGAGGACTGCAGGTCGAGCGGGTGAAAGTGATCCGAGACTTCGCTTTCGTACATTTCTTCACGCGTTCGTTGGCCGAGAAAGCCATGAAGGTCTGTCAGAACCTCACCTTGGACGATCTACCGCTGCAAGTGAGTAAACAATGCGACCCGCTTTCGTATCCGCGATCCTTCCGGGTCCACTCAGCCGGTGCCTTGCGGAGACACACACGTTCCCAGCGGTGTAGGCATCGGGAAGGGACTTAAGGTGGAGCAAGAGGAAGATCCTCATCAAGAGTCATCAGCGGTCGCTGAAACAGCAGAGGCTTAAGCCACAGCGAGTCGACAGGAGACAGAACGATGCGTTGGGATTAGTTGAAGACGGAGATGCTCCTGACGAGCACCAATCGCCGTGTTTGTTCCCGACGATTACTCTGCTTCTCTGGTATCTAATCAGGGACGACTCACCGCCGGGCGATTTTCATCGCAACGAACTTCAATTGAAAGCTTTCACTTCAGGTCAGCTGGGCCAAACCGCCCATCAACAAAAGGATGCGCGAAGAAATTCTGCGTAGACGGGAACGCAGAATGCGCCGCATGCTTGCATCGAGGTATAATTGTTTCACCGCCAACGTCGGTCAGGGGGATTTCTGAGGCTGGCTTCCGGCTTCATGTGAAGAAGTCAATGAGGAAAAAAGAATGGTAGAGGAGAAACGGAGGAAATTCTCCGAGTTTTTTCGCACAGCATCTTGTATGATGATCATCGGAAATAAAGCCGACAACGCTGTAGCGTGTCGTCTGCATTTTTATCGCCTAATGATTTCCCTTCGGCGACGTTGTTGCCGGGGAGGGATGCCTGAGTCGCACTCACCTCGCCGGAAGACGCACGCCCGCGCCAAAAAAGGGCTTGTTGCTGGAAGATTACTCGGAACCCGTCATGCAATCGGTAATGAGCTGACAGAACAGATTGCGTTTCATTCCGACAGGAAGCTGGGTTTTACGTATTATCGCTCTTCTCCTGCTTCCACTAAATCCGTGATCCGGCAGCATGTACTATGTATTAATTCAGATCCTGCTTCTCTGGCGGTTGGCAAGTTCTCCAAGCGAGAAGCACTTGAAGATTCCGCGAAGCACGCATCACGCAGCCAGCAGTGCTCTCTCCAGTCGGCTTGGGGGTGCGATTGGGCTAGCAATCGGGCAGCGAGGTAGAAGACCGACGACACCGCAAGGGGGGGGAAGAGAACGCTTCGTCACGTGCAGTTTTGCATGGTCACGTCGACGACCGCTCTCTGCTCTGAATGGAGGCCATTCATTCGGAAATGGGGTTTCTCTTCATGTAGATAACAAACGTCCATGGAGCATTGCAGAGAGACGAAAGAATCCATTGATTCCGAGGGAGACCCTGCATGGAGAGACGTGAGATCCTTGAGGCTTTCGGGGGAACTTCCGCGCAGTGGAATCACATCGCCAGGACGCAGAGCCTTTCATTGCCGGAGTCGACGTAACTTGACTGATCATGATTAGATTAGATGGGATCAAAACAAGAATGAACAAATACTCAGTTATTATCGGAACATGCACACCCGGTTTCTCACCCTTCGTTGATCATGGGCTAAAAAAATCGATGCTCGAGTTTGTAGATCTTCTGGCAGGGGAGCGTCATCCTTGACAAGCACGAGTGTTCGTGGAGTTGCGGCTTCTCATCGATCCGGATTACTTTCCCCTTAGGAATCATGGTGTCCATGTTCCGGCAAACGGAGTATTTGGAAAAATACTGCGCTTCGCCGACTTGCTGAAGCGCTTCCATGTGCGCTTTTCGAGAGTACTGCTACTATTAGTCCTAGGTGAATGTCGTAAATGCGAGACGAAATTGTGAATCTCGAGGAATTTCTCTGAAACTGCATATTCGATTCGGTCCAGAGACGCTTGAGGCAATGCTGTCATTTTTGAAGTACTGGACCATGATCCCGGGTGACGCTTAAGATCGCGAGGAGCCGCGAAAAGAATTCTCTCTATCTGCGGGGGTCTTCGGGTTAGATTGAACGCATCGTGAATATCGTCTCAATGATTCATGAGATGGGCAGTCGGCATGGAGGGATAGACAAGTTTTCAGAGGACTCTGAATATCGATGGAGCATTTCCTCCGATCTCGGACGTGCTTCCCTCTGTCCATGCTATCGTACCGATCTCGCGCGAATTCAGATTCCGCTTTTTTCCAATGTCTTCCGAGAGCATCGGGATCATGATGCTAGAGCTATGGGGGTATGCGATGTGTTACAGGATTTATTCGTGGTCCCCGACCTTAGGTAGGAAGACCTCCCTTGCACATTCATATCTTTCAGTCCAAGACTCGTATCATTTGCGCTATCGATGGTTATATGGTGAACACCAGCTCCGCGCACTCGCCTTTTGATTCGGAGGCGAAACAGAGAGGAGGGAAGAAGGAGAAGCGTCCGATTCCCGGAGCGGACGGAGCTGTTGTTGCAACTGCACTCGTCGGGATGCAAGCCATGTCGTCTGGCCGCTGTCCCGGCAGATGCACGGTCTGTCTTTGTGGCATGGAGAGTGTCTGTGGTCTAATTGAGTATTCGAAACGCGATTACCGGTCTCCCCTCGGTAACGAACAACGCACGGTGCCCCCTACTCCTCGCTCAATGTCTCGTTTGCTCCGGACTTCATCGATAGAGGGCCGGCGTCGTAGTCGCAGTCGCTGGAAGGCAGAAGAAACACAAGGAAGGAAAGAGAAACTCAGAGAATACGGAAACCCGAACGAGGGATTCCACGCTCCCAGGGAAGTCGGAGAATTTCGACCCTCGGGGGAGCTGGACGAACACATGCGACGAGATATCTGTCGACTCATAACCTGAATTTTCAGAACGTGCGGTGTCGTCACGTGTAACACAAGATCCGACGCGCAAAACTCGTCCGTGAGTCATTTGAATCCGTTCCGTCCTGGAGGACGGGAATCTTCAAGGGCGCTCGCTGCTGAATTTTGAAATCCGAGTGAAGGTTGTCTCGCTGTCGCGAGGCTATGTCCTCGGGCGGGGAATCAAGGTCATCAGTCGGTCCTCATGATTTTTCTCCGGCCCCGGCAGTAAGAGAGGACTTGAATAGAGCGCGTAACTACGGAACTTCCCCGGGGGCCGCGCCTCCACACGCAGCGATTCTCATTACGCAGATGGAATCCGCTCAGGATATCGAATGTCTATCATAGCAGAGCACGCCGCAGGGATTCGATGGGTTTTCTCGGGACGGGCAGGGAACGCCTTTGTCTCCTGCCCGTCCCTCTTCGGCTTGCAAACATCTGCTTGAATTCATCGCCGCTTGCCGGATGGAGCTGCGTGGATCTAAGCGGATATCTCGATACAGCGAGACGATGTGCTCTCCGCGTGGCGCATTTCCCGGCAACGTCATGCCCTGCAACTCCATCGATCATCGAAACTGAATAAGAAAAGCGAAGAGCTCACAAGAAGTGTAGCGGTGCGAGAGATTCCGTCACACCGACCGTCACCTTGAAAATGATGCGGGTCTCGCTCTAACCTTCGATCCAACGCGTTATGGCATTCGGGTCTGAGGGGAGACGGACTTCTCCTATGAGCGGCTTGAGCGAACCATGACCTTACGATTTTCATCGAATTCGAGTCCATCTCACCGAGTATATTGTGCTTCTTGTTTTCCATAAGCTGGTCCCGGCTCAAGGTTCGAATCCATCGTCACTGATTACATCCATTATCGAAAGATCGAGTATGTTCCGAATATAAATTACGTCCACGTAGAACGCCATAAATGGTTTCTGAATCAATGAGGTGACGGGGGGCCTTTTGAAGTGTCGATGTCGGCTTCTACCCAAGACGCTACTATGAACATGGATAGCGTGAAGCTTCAGGCCATCGCTGCATGCTCGGCCGTGTGGTTGCCTGTTTGCTCGGCCTTCTTCCCTGAATGAGTGGATGGTTCGGCGGTCGCGTGGCTTCCGAACCTATTTCCCCGGTGGCAAAGAGATTGATGAAGGTCTGGAAGGGGCTTTATCGCGGCTTTGTTCGCATCTGGGAGCCTCCCCGGCCGGACGACACGTCTCATCAGGATGACTGTAACTCAACTCGGACATATTGCTCGGGACCGACGGTTGCAGAACCTCAGGTATGAGTGTTTCCACGGGAGCGAGCGCTGACGCCGTCACCAGTGGCTCTCATTTTCCTCGTCATACACCCAATGACGACGGTATAGAGGGCGCGCATCTACCGTTCATCGTGCTGTAAGACTTCCGATCACACTACTTAGGAAGCAATCACCGGTTGCGAACTTACCCCGGACTTCCCGATAGTTCCTGGCTGTCGAATATTGCGATTTCTGGACTGGTGTTCGGTGCTGATCTACCTGAGGGCTAGTTGCAGATGGCCTGCAAATATTCCCGATCGTTTCCTCGAGCTTGCTGACTTGAATTCTCATTGGGAATGATGACCGGAAGCTCAACTCGAGAGGCCTAGCGTCCCTTCGGAGTCCAGAGCTTCAGAGTTATGCGCTGCTGACACTCTCGGCGGCATAGGATTACAGCGTCGACCCGAACTCCGGGATTCGGCCTCGGTCTCGTATCACGAAAGTCTCAGAAAGATCGTCACTGATTGCTGTGAATAGATTGGAGCAAATATTTTGGACGACCTGTATTCCGATGATGACTAAAGTCGCCAGGAGCCTCGGAATTCATCCTCGTAGTAAACGAGAGCGTAGGCTACGGGTGACTTATGGGTTGTTATGAGGAACGCGATCAGAGGTGGGACCATAAAAATACACCTCCATCGTTCGCGTGTCTCGTTTCTTCGCCTGCTCTCTGCAAGCCGCTGATATCGATGATTATCACCGAAGAACCATCGACGGCCGGGGTCGGGATTCATGGAAAGCGAACGATAATAATCACAGGTGAGCGAGGGGAGCGCTCATCCGATCTCAAATTATGATGAGAGTGAGGCAGGCTGAGGGCGCCCGACAGTGTCTCTCGACGTATGCTTCAGCCGCAAGAGCGGGTCGAGGGTTTTTCGGAGGGCTCTGAAAATCCGAAATGACTCCAAACCATTATTTCACGCTCCTCGAACTCAGGGATCAAGGAAACCACGAGGCGTGATTTATTCCCGAATCTGTGAAAGCGAATGAATTCCGAGAATAACCTACTTAATTTACATAATCATCAGTTCTTGAAGACTCGTGGAGCAGAAAATTCTGCCCGTGATAGTCCGCGCCCCTCGAAGTCGTCACCCAATGTATCCACCGCAATCTACTGAGGGACGAGCTACGGAAAATCGGGAAAATCCTATCGGCGGCGCATAATGTCCACCCACAGACTTCCAGGAGCTCGTTTCTCTGAATCAGGATTTCAGGAACTTTTGATCCGCACCTCATCCCATTCGTATGCAGCGCATCACATGGATCTGCGGGATTATCGAAGATCGCTTTAAATTCCGCGGATCCGTGGAGCCACGAGTCCGAAGAAGATGGACTTGACGTATAAGTCCCGGGCGCGAGAGAACGACTAATCTCTTCGGACCCCGTCCTATTCCATTCCTGTATCAGAATTCAGACGAGAACAAAGAGTCGAACACTGTGATTTTTTTATGTACTCGAGAGACGGTCGGGACGTGATTGCGAGTCACGAAATCCGG